CAGTCTAAGATCAGTCAACCATTATAGTTATATCCAGTTAAACATCAGTCAACCATTATACTTATATCCAGTTAAACACCAGTCAACTATTATAGATCCATCGAGTTAAACACCAGTCAACCATTATAGTTATATCCAGTTGAACGCCAATCAACCATTATAGTTATATCCAGTCTAAGATCAGTCAACCATTATAGTTATATCCAGTTAAACATCAATCAACTATTATACTTATATCCAGTTAAACATCAGTCAACCATTATACTTATATCCAGTTAAACATCAGTCAACCATTATACTTATATCCAGTTAAACATCAGTCAACCATTATACTTATATCCAGTTAAACATCAGTCAACCATTATACTTATATCCAGTCAAAGATCAGTCAACCATTATACTTATATCCAGTTAAACATCAGTCAACCATTATACTTATATCCAGTTAAACATCAGTCAACCATTATACTTATATCCAGTCCTCAGAGTAAACACTTGGTTCCAGTTAATGTCAATATAAGAACAGTCTCCTCACAGTAAACACTTGGTTCCAGTTAATGTCAATATAAGAACAGTCTCATCACAGTAAACACTTGGTTCTAATTATTATCAGTGAAAGAACATTCTCATCACGGTAAACACTTGGTTCTAATTATTATCAGTAAAAGAACAGTCTCATCACTGTAAACAATTGGTTCTATGATCTTGCAGCTTCTTAACGGTTCAGATTATTATTTTTGTATGTATTCCAGGCAGTATCACACCATATGATTAGAAGCTGTCGATGTCACGGCATTTCTGGATCCTGTGAACTGAAGACTTGTTGGAGGAAACTGCCATCTTTTGCCAATATTGGTAACTATTTGAAGAAAAAATATGCAAAGTCAGTTCAAATATCTGTGAAGGCAAGGAGAAAACTTCGTCGACGAGGGAAGAGAAAGGTTCTCGTGAGGAAGAACGACCTGGTCTATTTAAATAAATCTCCAAACTATTGTGTGGAAGATCGGGCGAACAAGATCTTTGGAACAGCCGGTAGACTTTGTAACAAAACGTCACCAGGCCCAGATGGCTGCAACTTGCTGTGCTGTGGACGAGGCTACAACACCCAGGTGATAACGCACGTGGAACGGTGTCACTGCAAGTTTCATTGGTGCTGCTATGTCACGTGCCGCACTTGTAAAACCATAATGGAAATTTATACGTGTAAATAAGGGTTTTACTGAAAGCAAAAACTAACGTCATACGGGTTCAGTACCACATAGTTTGGAAACACAAAAGATTTGGCTGCATATTAGGCTTTGGGTGAGTTTCAGAGAGTAAAAGACCATGCCTAACATAGAAAGATCGGATATATAGATAGACTTCGTTCTAGGTTTAATATATTAAAGTTTATTTCAGTAAAAATAATCAATGCTGAAGAAGGTTCATACTTACTGATTAAATAACTAACATAAAATAAAAAAGCTCAAATTAAATCCAAACTTTCCAAGCGCTGGTTGCACAAGCTCTTACAAGAAAGGAGCTTAAATCAATTAAGCCTTGATACCAAAACACCATGAACATTGAACAAAGCCGAAATTTTCCAAAGAACTTTTAAACAATTTATGGTATATGTGTGTAAATAGAATGTGGGGTAGGATAGAGCGAGACCGTTAAGACTGGTCAGTTTCCTGTATAGCGTCTTTAATTCGGTTGATTTGTCTACTGGTGTTAATTTATAAAAACCAAAGATTTAACGTCATTGAGAGGTTTTTATAATGCTTTCGTTTCCAACAAACCAAAGGTAAACATATAATTCAATTATATTTATTAAATACTACAATTTAGAGTTGAAAAAAAAACTGTTTTAATTCACTTAACTGGACAATATACAAACATAAACAAATCGTTAGCTTGGGCATAAGTATAATGGTTGACTGATGTTTAACTGGATATAAGTATAATGGTTGATTGATCTTTCATTTACTGTGAGGAGACTGTTCTTATATTGACATTAACTGGAACCAAGTGTTTACTGTGAGGAGACTGTTCTTATATTGACATTAACTGGAACCAAGTGTTTACTGTGACTCGTAGGTCCTTACAAAGTGAATGGGACATGGGGGACTCGTAGATCCTTACATTAATGTATTTGTGATAAGCTAGTAAGGGTTAATACCAAGAATTCACATTATCATCTATGTACCAAAGGATACCCATGGTCCCCGCTAACACTTCACCTTACTCTTACCCAGCCGTTGTTTTTATCAATGAGTTTTTAAAGTTCTCTACATTACCGTCAATCTGTGTCGAGTATATGTAAGAAACTCAAGTATACTTTAAAGTGATTAAAATATTTAGACTTTATAGACAGATATCTGAGGTTGTTTTTCTGTGGTTTAGTTATTGTTTAAAAAAATCCTTTGTTCTATCAAAGTACCTCATTGGATGTTTTGTCGTCGGATGTATTTTAAACATCCACTAGCATATACATCATTTACATTTTCGGTTCTAATTTACACACAAAATTTTAGATGTTTTACAAGAACTTTTAAAAATTAATTTTGGTCTAGTGGTTGGTTAACTTATCGTGTGAGAGGGTCAGAGGTTCGAGACGTAACACCGCTAAATACGTTCTGCACTTTCAGCCTTGGGCACGTTGTATCAGTTTATAGTAGCGGAAAAAGCTCTTGTGGTGGCTAGTGCTGTTGGTTGGTAGCCCAAAATTAGGGACAGTTATACCTGGATCCTAAGGATCTCTGACCTGGCTGTTGAGCCCTCATGCGGATAAAATGTCGTTCAGGGCTGAAAATTCCAATTCTCACTTTTCTTAACTTTGATTTTTATTAGTGCATAATTATGTTGTTGTCTTACTAATGAGGCTGAACTTAATTTAATTTTAACATTAAACATCCCAGTAAACATTTGGTTCTAGTTATTATCAGTAAAAGAACAGTATCATCACAGTAAACACTTGGTTCCAGTTAATGTCAATATAAGAACAGTGTTCTCACAGTAAACACTTGGTTCCAGTTAATGTCAATATAAGAACAGTTTCATCACAGTAAACACTTGGTTCCAGTTAATGTCAATATAAGAACAGTCTCATCACAGTAAACACTTGGTTCCAGTTAATGTCAATATAAGAACAGTTTCATCCCCCCATGTCCCATTCACTTTAAAGATGTAAGGACCTACAAGTCTCTATGTTCCATTCAC